AAAACCCAAATATAAATGAAAAATTACATTCTCAATTAAATTTAAGTTTTACGATCTTAAATTATATCTCTAATTACTAGGTATATGCATGAGATCGCTAAAAAAAAGCGTATACACAGGACTAAACTGCCGATTTCGTTCTCGGCTTCTTCATAGGAAAGTAACAACAAAACTACTCAATGAAGCAGACGATCTTAAAATTATTAAAAACCAAAATATGCTGTTCACAGATAAATATTTATTTTAAATAAAAAATTACATGCATATTGTTCCATATGTTAACAAACATAAAAATAAACAAAAGGATTTACTTACATAATGTCAGTCTACTTCGGAATTCTACCGAAGCTAACAAAATCTTTTCTTCAAAGTTCTTCAAATATAAACAAATCTCCGCTACGGAATTCTACCGAAGCTAATACAATTTTCTCATCAAAGTCCTTCGATGCGAAAACTCACCCTTCCCTCTTCCCATCCATAAATAAAACCAGTAAGAAGCTAAATAAATATTAACTCTAAGGTAAATAATTCGATACTGTAAGTCGAATTAACACTTTATTTTACGTGATAAACTTAATTAGTTAACCACGGAGCCAGAATAAAGACGTCTTAAACAACCGAGGATAAATATCTGACTAAGGATAAAATCCTCTGATAAAAAGGAGTCGTCTGCAGCTTCCAATTCCATGAAAAAGAGCGGCAACAAAAAATTATCGTTTGTTTTGCCATCAGACGCGTATTATACAAAACATCAATACAATACCACTGAAGTTATTGAAAAGATGTCTTCTCACTTTCGATATTAATATTCTAAATTTCTGTAAATAAAAATTTTCCAAATCTTTAAATTCATCCACATAAGGCAGTTCTCATTTTCATCTGAATTATAACTAGTATCTTTATCTTTTTTGTTTTGATTAGTGCATTCACCACCTATCCAAAGGATAAGTAAAAAAATAAAAAAAAAAATAAAAAGAATAGCATTAAATATTTTTCTTCATTGGAAATTTGCTGAGATTTCCACCATTTTGGTTCAGATTGATTAATTTAACAACATATCAACCCTTATTGAGTTTTTAATGTCTTAAATAAAAGTTGCACAGTACAAATATCCCAGTGAGTTAATAGATACAGACAAGTCCCACTTACACTAAATGTCAGCTAAAAGTAGACATTGGTGAAGTTTATACCTGTGTCTGCAAGTATCCATCTAAAAGATGCCTGCATGTGGTCTATTTCAAGCCCTGTTGACAATGTAACCACCATTCTAATTAGGTCAATGGATCGAAACAACAAAAATCTGTGCTAGAAGTCTCTTTTTTTAGTATTTTGTTGTAACTGTATTGATATAAATTCAGGAGGCAGAAAAAAAATGCTATAAACATTTTACATCATTTGGACTGTTATCCTCATCTTTACTGCTATATTCACAATGTTTCAGCTGTTATACACTCCAGCCTTCTTCAAGTGATATATGTTGGAATGTTGAAGTGAATCCTTTATTTAGTCCATGGGGGTAGATTGTTCTAATTCCATGTGTCATGCCTTATTTGGATAGTTTCAGTTAACTCCCTTGAGTAACTCAAGATTTTGTTCTCTCTGCTGTGGTCAGGTATTGAACTCACAACTCTTTTTGGATTATTTCAATCAACATTTTTATCTTCAAAGACAGATGGTCCAGTAGATAAAAGCAAACCTACTCAGTATCTAGATGGGTGACCACTGAGGAATACCATGTGCTGTAAGTGATGCACAAGTGATATAATGGATAATGACTGAATTGTTAATCCGAGCACAGAGTTCAAATTCCTGTCAAGATTGTCACATTCATTTATGTGCAAAAAAGCATGAAACTACCTCTTCTCTCTCCAGCTATGGGTTAATTAGTAAGACTTGTATCACTATTTCAAAAAAAAAAAAAAAAAAAAAAAGGATCTTTTTGGAATTTTTTTTCCTGCAAAGGGTTGATAAGCCTTAAAAAATGAATCACTCAATCAAATTGCTAAACTGATGTAATGAAACTCCAGATTCCTTTTCTTTATCATTTGTGAGCTGCTAGATATTCTTAGGACTGGTTTTCCATTGCCTTGTTCATGGTTTGGAATTCAAAGTTTTCCTTCTCCTAGACTGGTTACCACTTAAGGCTAGAGAGACCAGTCTACTCTGGTATTTAATCCATAGCTGGTCAGAGAGGGAAGACATGGCTTCATGTCTTTTTCAAGATCATCACAGTGATTGATTTTTTTTTTTTTTTTTTTTTTTTAAATGGTTATCAACCCTTTGTGGATTGTTTAAAGCCAAAACACATTTTGGGATTGTAAGAATATTTGTTTTTTGCCAGTGAATATTGCATTAACAATTTTTTTGAGAATAACAATGATTTTTCTAAAGAGTCCTACTATTTAATGCATAATTGGGAGAAGAAGATGTATTAATACCTTTCTCAAGGGTATTTGTGTATAAGTGAATGTAATGAAACCAAGTGGATTTTGAACTCAACTCTCCAATTTCCCCATTCTGAGCATCTATCTATTGCACCACTTGCACATCCTATCTTGCAATGTTGTTTACTTTAAATATTCAAAGCAAAAAAAGAGCGAAGTAATGAATAGATTTTTTCTTGACTAGTATTGAGAAAACAATGTTATTACCAAGTCGAAGATAAGTAAAAAAAAAAAAAAAAAAAAAAAAATTGAAAATACACAATAGGTAGCAATGAATGAGAGATAGGAAAATGTCATCACGAGAGAAAAGTCTTAAATATGTAAGTATAAGAGAATCCCTGAAAATGGAAGGTGATATTTGAAATTTTAGAAATTTAAAAAAATATCTAAGTTTCTATTTGTTTACACTCTTTCCCAATGCCTTCTTTCAAAAATGACTGCCATTAAGATACATGGTGCGATGGATAAATTGTCTAAATTACACAAAAATGAAAATAACACTAACATCTCATTTTAAATAGTATATTTACCAAAATCATGCAAATATATCTTGAAATACTAAAGAGAAAATTTATTCAATAAAATCGCCATTGGCTTCAACCACAGCCTCCACAGGACTTTGAAATCTCCTGCAACTCTTCTAGACAGTCTCCTTGTTTAAGTTGGTGAATGCTGCCATAATCCTTGCCTTCAGTTCATCTTTGGTGTTGCAAGGAGTTTTGTTGGTCTCTCACTCAATTGTGCCCGACACACAATAATCAAGATGGTTGTAGTTTGGGGAGATAGGTGACCAGATGTAAGGGGTGATGCGTTTGTAAAAATTGTCTGACTGCCATGATTAGATTCTCCTGCTTGTGTGGCATGGTGCAGAGTCTCGTTGCCAGTCATAGGGTCTTCCAGCAGCCACCCTCTTGACCTAGGGCAGCAATACCACCTCAAGGCACTTGATGTAGGCTTCTGCGTTGAGTCTGAAACCCTCACCAACAAATTTAGGAGTTCTTTTCTTATCAGAACAATCAGAGTGATTTTTCCAAGCTGCTGCACCTTTGTAACCACCATTAGACTGATCCAACTCTTTCCAAATCCTCTGTACTGTCCTCATATTGACACCCAAATACTCTGAAATGTTTGTATTGGAGTTTCCAGTGCAAATGCTAAGCAGTACCACATGCTGTTTCCAAATTTCTGGTGGAGTGGAGTGAATTGCATCATGGTGCTTTTTATCTCGTAGATGGTGCCCAACTGACTTGCAGTCAACAAAATCAAAAACAAACAAGGTGCATGTGCAAAATTAAAAATATAAAATGGTGACAATTTACCCATTGCACCCTGCAGAAGAGATCATACACTGTTTGTACAAATCAATTTGAAGATATATTGCAAAGAAAATTATCCAGCAATTCTAAGACAGAATGGGACAGTCCAAGATTGGAGATATCGGAATAAAGCAAGTACAGAAATTTTATTATCTGGGAAATGTTGATAAGGGATGAAAAGAAAATGGGACACAGAAATTTGAAGGTGCATTGGGATAGTGAAAATATGCCTTCCAATAGCTAAAAATATTTTGAGACAAGATAATTTTCTTGAAAACAATGAAAAGAAGGCTGAACTGACTATCAGGAACTGAATGCTTGACAATTTTCTCACAGATGAAGTGGAAACTTAGGCAACAGCAATGTAGTTCTACAGAAGGATGCTGAAAATGGAGGAAGTTTTAAGAATTGTTCTGATTAGTTTTCTACAGCTGCAGGTTATTTAAAGCCAAAAAATATTTTTAGATTCTAAGAATCTTTTTTGTGATAAGTGATTCGAGTTTTACTAATCAATCCATAGCTGTGGGAAGAGGTGGATTCTGTTGTACATTTTACAAACAGTGTTTTGGGATCTTTCTCACTGTGAGTTTGAATCTCATCCTCATCACCACTGTTGTATCCTTAAAGAGGTTACAAACAGTCAAAGGTGGTACTTGAGTGAAAGGAACAGCAACATGTGTAGATGAAAGAAAGAGAGGTTTATTGTAAAAGAGAATACACTACTGAAAGACAGGGAATCAATTAGCAGGCTAGTAATTCCCAAAGCAAGGATATTTGCCAACCACTCCATGTGGTCAGATGTGGCACAAGGCCGTGGGGTATCCGAGCCCATAGGCTCTGGCAAAAATTTCCCGTAGACCCCGTAAAAAACGGAGTCGGGTAGCTGTCTACCACCCCAGATGAGACTCTGCCCTTTGGAATAGCCTCATCTGTGTTCCTCTCTGCCCAAAGGCAAAGAGATTGACCAGCATAGCTGGAGACAAATCTCCAACTAATTCCCAAAGCAAGTCCCCTGGTATATCCTGTGCTCACTATATATATATATATATATATATATATATATATATATATATATATATACTGATATAGTCAGTCCACATAGGTGATAGGGTGTGAGGGACATTCCATTACCACAGATTTATACCTTTCCCAAGAGAATTTGTGTGTAAGTGAATTGGAACTCGGCTCTCTGATTAACAATTCCAAACCATTATCCATTACATCCCCCACATATCTATGTTTACAGCACCTGGTATTCCCAAGTGGTCACCCATCTAGGTACTGACCAGACTTGATGTTGCTTAACTTCAGTGATTGTATGGGAACAAAGTTTTAAGAAAAATTTGAACATAAAGAACAGATGAAATTTCAAGGACACATAATCAAGAAAGAGGGCTTGGAGAATTTGACACTCACAGGACATATTGATGACAAGATGGACAGATAGAAACTGTGTGTAATCTACCATGTGTAAACAGATGGCAGAACATGAACTGGGAGGAATAGTAAGAATATAGGCATCACTTAGCACTACAAAGGATAGGAAGTTGTGGTGAGCCATGATCTTCCAGGTCATGAAGGGAAACGGCATAAAAAAGAATTGCTAGACACTAGGTCAAACTTGTCATGCCAAATTTACTACATTCCAACAAGGAGAAAACAAATTAAAGGATAGAACCAATCAAATTTTGCCTATCATTTATATAATCATATTCTATCAGGAATACATTAATTCTTGACCATTAACAATCCCTTTCATCTTCATTTCAATTCAAAATGTAAAATAGAGTTCTAAAAATTATTTTAAATAAAAATTTGCATTTCTAGTATATCTGGGCTGGAGCTGCCCAATCCTCGCTTTTCAGCCTTGACGGAGTTCAAAAGTGTGTACTCGGCCTTATGGGTGATGAATTATTTTCCACCCTACAACCCCTTTCCCACAGATGAGACATTGCTAGTTTCTTGCTACTCTATCACTATTATCATGGCAAACGTTCAGACAGACTACATTTCACCAGTCCTAACCATCGCAGCTTGGAACTACCATGTCACATACGTATAGTTGACTCATCCTCATTCCCTTTGTATTCCATTAGTAAAGAGAAAGTTCTACTTAGACCACTTCTTCCCTGGAACTGTTATTGTGTGGAACAGACTTCCAAAAGGATACTTCCCTGATCACTACAATCTTAATCTCCTCATGTCTAGCATCAACTGTTATTTATCCTACATATCCTCATAATATACACTTCTTACTTCCTCCTCTTAGATGCTTACAATAACCTTATTCATTAACTCTCTACCTTGAGTTGCTCTTGGGTCTTGCATTGGGTGAACAATAGTATTAAAAAAAAGGTCAATATTAAATTTCCCCTAATACTAGACTTATTTAGATTATTAATGCAGAAAATTACTGGGAAAATGAAATAAAATCAATAAATAAAATATTAATAATGAATTTTGTTTAAAGTAAATTTTCTCATGTTGCTAGTAATAAATGAACCAGAAAGTGAAGCCAAGTGAGGTCATAGACTAAGTCTCTGTTAAGTAGTGCTGTTTAAGTTCTATAAAAAGACAATTATTTCCTTCCTCTTCCTCCCCCACTCCTGCTTCAAGATGTAGCAGAATGCAGATGAAGATGTTCACATTGGAAATGTCTCTTTTTCTCCATTCAATTGACAACTGAACTCTCTTTCCACTTTTCAACACAGAGTGATCAAACAGGTTTTGCAGTCCCAACCAATGAAGTAAATACAACCATTTATTTCGATCATTCCAACTCGGTGCAAAGCTAAACTTGAGCTCAACCATTTTAACGATTCTTATCATTACCTACCCCAGCTTACTTCTGAGTCAGAAAAAAAAAGCAGACATATCCAAGAGACATTGAGGAATTTATTTCTCTGCAGTTTCTACAAAATAAAAGAATAAATGGTCCATAGTAGAAACCCCAATTGTTTATTTGTGAACATGCACTCACCTAAATGCAGCCTTTAAATTCTATATGACTAAATGTAAGTGATGGAGTAAAATGAAAGTCAGTGCATAGCAATAAAACCCCAAACCTTTCCTTCTGTTGCATACTGGGCTGAAATGGAGTCGATACTAAAATACAACTATTGATTATCTTATCTCCAACTTTCATTTGAGTTTGGTGTGTCATTATATACAATGCAATCATCAGAGTGAAACAAAGTTTTCATGTATTTTTCATAACTTCTACTCATAACATTTTTTTTAAACAGCTTGTAAGAATATTAAATAATCTATGCCAACTGGAAATATTCTGAATTTTTTTTTTTTTTAATGAAATTCATCAAGGTTTCTGGTTCTTGGCAAAAACTTATTGTTCTTACTACTTTTTAATTACTGCATATTTTAACTTTTAATTTAAATCATGTGAAAAAAAAAGAAAAGAGGCTGTATTGCTTGTAGCCAATGATTCAATATAAAAAGGGAACAACAAGTTTTTTTCAACAAAGTGATTTTTCTTTACCAAGCCTTCAAAATCTAATGAATAATTAACTTAGCACCTTAAGGGATTTTTCATTTTAAAAAAAATTAATTTGGAACTATTTTTTTTTTCAAATTGAAGTATGTGGTATGCTTATGTTGCAAACCTGGATCATTTTGCCTTTCCATGAATTTAGTGCGAAAAACCAGGCAGAAAAGAACACCTTAGGGATTATCTTGAATATCTCATCCAGAATGGAAAAAACAAAAATAGTAAACCACTCGAGAAAAAAAAAAAAAGAAAAGAAGCCTCAATGCATTAAACTAATGAAAGAGAACTATAGAAAATAAAAAAAATTGAAAAAAAATATTTATTAAAACTTTACAAAAGAATTGATTAGGAAAAAAAGAATGTTATATATTTCTGAATTTCTGCAATGAGTTGTTATTATTTACATTCATATTGGTGTTTTCATATTTGTTGTTATCACGTTTCAGCCATTGTGCTCAGCAGCCTTTCTCAGGTGCATCTCGATCTGGAAAGCCTACAGAACTGAACCCTTTATTTAATCTATGCTGGTAAACTGTTCTCTTTCCACTGCTCATGTCTAGGGATATTGTCAAGTTTTTATTTAGTACTGCTCAGTTATTGCTCGCCCATGTTTGTGAGTTCAATCCCTGGGTCAGTGTGTACTTACACTTAGGGGAAATGGGCAAGCAAGCAATAACTTTCAAAACTTTTTAGATTCAAATTAAAAAAAAAAACAAACAAAAAAAAAACGCTATCACACTAACAATAAATTCCAATGGTAAAAAAAAAAAAAATAAGCAAGACATTGGGACACATAATGAGGAAAGTAGGCCTGGAAGATTTGACATTCACAGGACATTAAATGTAAGAGGAACAGAGGAAAGCAGTGAGTAACCTGCCTAAGAAGTTTGTGAAAATGGATAACAGAACAAGGAGTTGGAGTGAGACTTGAGGGAAAAATATTACTTGGAATTAAAGAATGATTTAAAAAAAAATAAAAAAAATAAAAAAAAAGTTTAAAAAAATTATGGCATCTACTTGTCTATAAGACTGGATGGTGGAGTAATGGATAGCAGCTCAAATTGAGGAATTGGAGAGCCAAATTCAAATTCCAGTCAAATCTATTACATTTACTTATGTGCTAATATCCTTGGGAAAGGTATGAATCCTCCTCTTCCCCACCAGCTATGGGTAAATAGCAGGACAGACCGGGTTCTATAGCCTTGGATGGCAACTGGTCTACCATAGAAACAAATGACAACCTACTGCAGGAAAAATCTGCCTTGTCAGTCATGTATTTAAAGATATATGATCGCCTAAGTGTGTACCACGCATGACATAAAACTGACTTATAAGACTGCATACAACAAAAATAAAATAAAAAATGCTATAATTGTTTGTTCCTCCATTCTTTAGTTTGCATGTATATTATGTCCTGTCAATACCTTATAAATAATGGACTAATCCATTTTGATCACAAGGGAAGATGTAAAAATATATAAGACACAATGTTTGGTTTTATTGAGAAGAAAGAGATAACACTCTCACATCTGCTTTAATGAAATGGAAAAACTTATTTTAAATTATTCTTATTTGTACCCTCTTACTTCTTGTTATGGTCCAGGTTAGGACTGAACTACTATCTGCTTGACTCGACAACCCTCTCTCTTGAGAGGTGTAGTATACATAGTGTTAGGAAGAGTTCATTCTGTAGTTATAGGTAAGGACCCATGATACTTCTTTAAATAATGATCTGCATTCACACTTATGATTGTTACTGCAATATTTTCTTAAAGTTATTAAATTCAAATATGTAACAATACCATGGTGGAAATTCCATAAGTATTTTGTAGTCATGGAACTTATTCATTAAAATATTAGAATACATCAAAATATTAAAATAGAAAAACTGGGAAAGTTTCCCAGCTACTTCTAGTACATATATTACACTGCATCTAATTTATTGGTATTATAGATGGGAAGCCATTCTTCTTCTAAGTGCTGTGTCACCTTCAAGAAATTGGTGATCATGGCTCTCCACAATTTCCTATCCATTGTAGTTCTTAATAAATTTTTTTCTTTTTCTTATCTTTCCTAAACCTTGCTCTGCCATTCATTTACTCAAGCTCTTTAGGTAGGTTATGCGTTGTTTTCCTCAGTTTATTGCTAGGAAGCTACATTAAGGAGAAGAACGAGTAGCCATCCAACCAAATACATTTATGAAAAGGCAGAAAAAATAGGCAGACAAATATATGATAATTATTATGACAAGTTGTCCTTCAGCAATTTCTTAAAGCCCATGAAGAAATTTTGCAACTAAATTACTGTTAGAAATATGCATATGGCAGCACAAAAGAACAAATAAAACAAAAGTACTGTCAGTGAAGCAAAAAGACAAGAATTGTCAATATAAAGTTTGTTTTATTGCTGATACAGCGGATGTGAGCTGATGTGTCTCTAAATGTAGGTAAGGGAAGCAGCTTTGTAGGAAGTGTACAGTTGGTAAAACTTGTTGGATTGGTTGACTGAGGTCATGGTGATGTCAAGAGAGGCCTGGAGTGGATTAGTGAAGCTTGATGTTTGACACAAATCTGATTCTATCAATGCAATTGATGTGTGGGCATTGTGTAGGTGTTTGGAGGAAGGCATGTTTTGAGTGGATATGTGTGTCATGGTGGTGACATCAAGAGCCAGCTGGGCACTGACAGTGGACCCATTCTCCTTGCTTTTGTTCCAGGCATTTATGAGCAGCTTTTGTAAAAGCAATTCTGATGGCTCCTGAGCTCATCTTTTTTTTTTTCTTTGATGTCAAAATTTGTGATTGCCTTCTTTTATGTTCTATT